GGGGGAGGAGTGGGGGGTGCCCTTCTGCGTGCTATCAAACCACTTCCCTTTGCAAGCTGCTGAGTCTTCATTGCCCATTTCCTGCCCCCAGCCATCAGCACCACTCTGCCTCCTCCCCTCTTGCCCCTCTCTAAAAGCACACAGCTACCGCCTCCTCCCCTAAGCTCCATGGTGCCAGGCAAACGTACCCACTGATGAAATCCATCCCTGCCCAGCCACTGTTACTGCTCCCATGCTGAAACCTGCTTGTGTCAGTACCCGCTGCACCTTCAGATCAGCTACTGTTTTGCGATCTTTGCAGGCCAGACAGCATCTCTTTATTTAGGTCAGTACAATAACTAAAATAATGGAGATTTGGCCAGGAGCTCTAGACATCATCCTGAAATGCCTTCATCAGCTGAGTTTGCTGGGGCCGCTACTGCTCATGAAAAGCAACCAGTTTAGGAAGATCTATTCCCCTCTAGGCTACCAGCGTCCTGCTGTGGTGAGTTCCACGCTGTAACACAGCAACAGTTCCCACTCCCAAAACTCACTGGATATGTATCAGCACCTACCTAAAATTGATTGTGAAAGAAGTCAGGAGGCAGTATGAGTGAGAGGCAGGGAGAAACAAGGATAAGAGCATTCCTCCAAAGCAAAGAGGTGAAGGCTGGGATGATTTTGATCCCTCTTTGCTCCAGTATCAAGGATGGCTTCAGCGCTAACCACTGCATAGCCTAACAAGCATACACTGAGGAGGGATGTCACTTTCCATTTCTAAATTATAATAGCCTTTTTATCAGAGAGGGGTGGTCCTGAGTTCTGCAGTGGGATGGGACTGCTTAGACAAGAGTGGGTGCTGGCTGATGGGGCTGCAGGGACAGAGCTCCTCTGCCAGAACAGAGCAGAAAGGAAGATGCAGCAAACAAGGAACATCAGGGAATTGACCACTCTCCACCCTTTAATAGCTTTAGGACAGCACTGGGTCATCTCTCAATGTCCTCACGGAGCCTCCTGGTGCTGCTCTCGTGGCAGGAGCTGCATTCTGTTTCGGAAAAAGTAGGATCTGCTCTAGCAGCCGGTTCTTTCCAAGCCTCAATGCCAACATACTGGTGATAAGAACAGGCAGCATCGTTCAGTCAGTGGGATCAGGAAAGAGCGCATGCTCTGCTGATCCCTGCTGGCCACAAGCCAAGTGCCCCAATGCAGAGGTGCAGCAACCTTCAGTAGGGGGGCTGCTAAATCTTCCAGCTCAGTGGAGTACAATGTGTACTCTGCAACAAACGTCCATGTAGCTTGCAGCTCACTGCATACAGCTGTCCTCCCACCAATGCATCACACTCATTTCAGAGTTTACTCTGAGCGAACTCCAGTGCAGTAGTTAGGGCTCCTTGCATGCCTCTGGCATTTCCACTGCCCTTAGCGACGACACAAGAACCTCCTGCCTTGCCTTCCATCTGTGTGCAGACAGCTGTGGCCCAGTCAGCAGCAGAAAACATGGGGAGACAATTCTGTGGAGAGATACAGAGCAAAGTCATTTGGCCTGTGGGTCACTCTGCTGCCCAGATGAAGAAAGGTAACTGCTTTCTCTCCTCACACAACCCGGGCCCTTGCTGCATGAGGCAGTCATGACTGGCAGGACTGCAAAAACTGAGCTCACCTGTTAATGCTGTGTCCTGTGAAAACTGAGCTTACATGTTAATGCTGTGTCCTGCCCCTGGGCACACATGTCCTGGAGAATCCAGGGTTATCTGTGCCCAGCAGAGCCTGAAAGCATATCTGCTTCCAGTGTGGTCCTCTCAGGTTCTACCTCTACATGATTAACCAGCAATATTTGAAAGAATCCCAGGAAGAACCTGAACCGGGACCTCCCTTTCCAAGAAAGAGAAGTAGGCCCGGTCTCCCTTTGCAGTTAGGTTCCCCATGTCTCTGCCAGGGCTGCACTTACCTTGGACACCTGACACGCACAGAGCACCTCACCAGAAGCCTGAGGGCTGAGCAGCAGGACTGATGTGCCAGGAGACTTGACACATAGCTGGTTCACTACCTTCATTAGGATCTAGGAGAGGCATGGACAGGAAGGGTCAGGCAGATCCCTCTGTGCAGCAGCAAACATGCACAGCAGCTCCTTTTTACCATATGGAGCATCAGAAATACTGCTGGGCCAAAAAGTTACTCACAGAGGGAGAGTCAGCTGGGACAGTATCAATGATGACAGGCCGGTTGCAATGTTTTGCCAGCAGGCTTTGTGCCTTCTCTGCAGCCTGGAGGAGGAAACACACAGCACTTGAGGGACTACATGCGGCATAGGGTGGGCTGGATGGGGATATATGCATGCAACATAGGCACACAGGGAATGGAAGTGCTGCTCTGGGAGACCGAGGGGAGAGGTGTGTTAGCAGAGGTCAGAGTAAGACTGCAGACTGAAATCTCCATGTGGAGACCTGCACAACTCTCCTTCCTCAAAAGCAAACTGAGATGAACCCCTTTCAAAAGTGGAACAGATAGTGGCCTATTTGGTCCTTGGCCTCTCTCTGGGCCTACTCATTGCCGCGTGCCTTATGCAGGCTTCTGAGGCAAGACGCGTCTACTTTAAGGAAAAGCTAGTTCTTACTGAGAATACTAAATCACCAACAAGCAGTCTCAAAGGGGTTTAAATATAATCATGTCAATTTGTAAGACAGAGAAACGTAGTGGGAAGCCAGAACAATATCCATGGGGCTGGGAGAAAGGCTGTCCTGCAGACCTGCCTTACTGCATGACCTTGTAAAGCCCATTTTCTCAGGATTGTACCTGATCTTCTCCATCTATAAACAGGGAAGTGATGCTTATCTGCCTGTCTGCCAAAAGTGCTGATACAGGGCTCTTCATCTTCACAGGCAGAGAGACAGGGGGATTTTGCAGGTTCTGAAAGGCCAATCAGTCATTCATTGTACTTTAAATAGCAGTCTGGGTTAAGACCAGTTAAATCAACCCAACCCATGACCTCTGTTACACTGTGTGTGATTACATCTGCTTTCCCCTGCCTTCCAATGCGATCATAGTGACTGAGTTGCTGTGTAGCGTGACAGGAACTTCAGCTTCCCTGGTGTAAGCCGCACACTGCTATTAGCAGGCTGTAGTGAGTGCGCTGCTACCACAGTACCTGCTGTATCTCCAGTTTCTTGATGGCTGTGTTGGCCGTTCGCTGAAGCGCTTTGAGGATGGTCTGTAGTTCTTTTCTTTGCCACTGGGGCATTGCAGTGCTAGCCACCACCTGAAAGACAATCTGCTGTGTAAGCAGTACTAAGCTGTATCTACCAAGACGTAAACTGCTAGTTCTCTGGGAGGTCCGACTGGAGCTTGGCCTCTTCCCAGCCCCTCCTTTAGCCCTACATGATCTGGCCAGCCAGCCACTGCTGCATGTGGCTTTTTTCTTTTCAGTTGGGCATCTGAAAACCAGGGAACCTTTTTTCACTGCGTTACCCTCCCCACCATTGCTTCCTCTCATGGTCCCTCTGGTAGTAGGCCATCTGTAAGAGAGGCACCTAGAGGCATGTTGAAATCTTTCTGGCCAAAGACACACTGGCAGGTAGCAACTTCCCCTTGCTAGTAACCATGGTGAGATGTGAACCTAGCAGGGAAGAAGGGATGTGGCTCAGTGTATAGAGCCCAAGTTGGAATCTTTCTGCACAGGAATGTAATCCTTACTTTGGTCAACTGGCCCACTTCTTTGGAGAGGTTCTGCACCTCAGGAATAGAGGTGCTCCTCTGCTTCATTCTTATGGAGACAGAGTCCACTTCCATAGCCAAGCACTGGCCTACTTCCCGGGCCTGGAGAGAGTGAGACAGAGAATGCTTCAAATGCAGCAATGGAAAGAACGAGCGGGGACGGAGAAAGTGGAGAGACTGCAGGGTCATAACCATTCAAAGCCCTACTCAGTATCCAACAGGAAGACACCAAGAAACAGAGGCTTTAAGAATGACTGTCCCCAAGAGCAGCCCGCATAGAAAATTCCTCTCTAGATTTATAACCATTGCTAGATGGTCACACCCCAGGGACCAAGCTGTCTGGCAGTTACGTTTGCTCAGTATCTATCTCACAGCAAATCATCAGTATTTCAATGAGAAAAAGTTAGACGCCCCATTTACTTATTAGGGCTCTATTTCATTAGCAAACGCACGCTTGAAACTAACGACCAAAGAAAGATTGTTCTCCTCAGCATCAGTGTTACCATTAATAACAAAGTAAATGCAACTTTTCCCCATGATAGCACTCATACTTTGGAGCATTTCCTTCCTGCTAGACCTTTGTGCCCATGATGGCCCTGGGAGATTTTATACTAGGAGAGCAGAGAGCGTGAAAGAAAAGTTGTGGAGAATGGAAAGGCCTGCTCTGCCTAGCCAGGATACACATCCCTAGCTCCAGATCACTCCCTTGTACCTGCACCCTCTCTTATCTCATTTACACACTCTCGGGGGCTCTTCAGGTCAGCACTTCCAGCAAAGCAGGCAGATGTGCCCTACAGCCTTTTATTCCTCTGTGGCAAGGGTGGCCTTGCCAGGAACACAGATGCACAGGAGGCAGCCAGACAAAGTGCAACTCTCCTCTGACTGCAGCCCCAAAGGAAGCAGGCAAGGCTACGGAGTCCCCCGACACTTCAAGGACAAAGATCCCACAGACACAATAATAGCTTGCCTACTCTTTGTATAGACAGAGCTAGACCAGGACCACAGTTTAGCAGGAGAAAAAGAATAAAGGAAGAAGGAAAAGGGTTGTAAGAATGAGGCCAGAGCCCTGTCAGAATAAAGGGCAAATCCAACTGTGATAAGCAGGAGGTAAAACCAAGGCACAAAGGATTATGCCTTTAAACACCTACCTGGGAACTGCAATTTACAGCTCAGAAGCTTCCTGG